GGGGAGCAGTTGGGGGTTCGGTGCCTTGCTCAAGGGCACCTCAGTCGTGGTATTGAAGGTGGGAGAGAGCGCTGTACATTCACTCCCCCCACCTACAATCCCTGCCGGTATGAGACTCGAACCCACAACCTTTGGGTTATGAGTCCGACTCTCTAACCATTAGGCCACGACTTCCCCTACGAGTTTGACGAGTGTGATCGCTCGTGTCACTTCATGTGAGTGCTGCTGCAGTCTTAGGCCCTCCCCAAATGCTCTCATTGGTTGAGACACGTGATGACACTCATCCCAAGCCAGTACTGATCAACATCCCACCCCTCCTGTGACCCATGGTTTGTCTGTATGTGTATTCAGAGCCAGTGAGCAATTACGGACATTCAGAATAATAATAATAATAATAAAAACAATGCGTTAATGCTCGATAAAATAATTGTCTGAATTAATTAATGCGTTATCGTGTTAACTTGCCCAGCTCTAATATACTGTATATATATATATATGTATACTGTGTGTGTGTGTGTGTGTATATATATATATATATATATATAATTCTTTTTTTTGTTATTTTCATGTCAATGAAATACTATTATAGTTTTTCTTAATATTTTGAATTCGTTTTTTAAATAGTTTCAGCTTTCCTGTTCATGTTAACATTTTAGTATTTATGTTTTTGTCATTTTTCTTAGTTTTTGTTGTTTTTAAAAATGTCTGTATAGTTTTATTTTTTGTATTTAGTTTAAGTTAAGCTCAATGAATATCATTTTTTCTTTATTATTTCAAGTAACACATTTATTTTTATGGTTTCAGTTCATTATAATAACCCTGATTTAGTGTTAAAACAGGACTGAATTAAGTTCATGTCAGTCACTCCAAGTGCACACTACAGTGATCAAGCTCATTGCCTTTGACATATTGTGACAAGCAGATTGTGTATAGTGTATGCCTGATGCTCTTGTAGTGTGCACACTACTGAGGGACGATCTGACTAGCCGCAGAAGCCACAGCAGATTTTAAATCTGTAGTCAAGAATAACACATTGCTGTGAGCGTCATTTTGTGACAATTTACAGGAGTGTAGCTTCATTTGGGGAGAAGGTTCTGCTTGTTTGAGTCACTTTGCTACAAAAATAAACTCGAAATATAGTGCTAAACTTGGCTCTCAAGAGGCAGAAATACAAAATGAAGAAGTAGCTTTAGAATACAGAAGTGCTACATGAGGCCACTGATTAGACACTAATTAAACTAAATTAAAAACAAGTAACGTCTGACCGTCTCTCGGCCCACTCATGCCTCTAACGATAACTATATCATTAAATCTAATCGTTCTGATGCTATGAGATTAGTGAAGTCCAGTCTGCAACTATAACGATAATGACACAGAGGAACAATATCACCAAAATTATGGATGGAGTGATTACCGGTTTGACGATAAATCATGATAAAATTCCCCACGGTTGGTATTACCGTTTCATATTTTAAGTATAATTAAAACCGTATTTAATTACCACGATTTGAACAACTGTGGATAAATACTGTCCAGCATAAAGCACAGTTTCCAGTAACAGTCTCACGTGCGCACAGCAGCAGAGTAGTTTCGTTTTGTGTGAAAACATGGCAGAAAAGCTGGGAGGATTTAAAAGAGTGCTAAGGGAATTACACAAATGAATATACGCATGAATACAAATGACCTCAGGTGATGCTAACCCTGGAACAACATATAGAACTACCAAATTTTGCTTAATCGCAACATTTAATCACAATCGCAAAGTTTAATCGCAACATGTAATCAAACAGACGGTGAACACTATTAACTGCAATGATTACGTGTAATTTGTAACTAACTTTATGATTCTTACTGTACATTTCTGCCGTAGTCACCACTAATAGCCTACTCCTAAATATAATGTAGAGAATTAAAATTTTCTCTAAAGCTGCTTTGCAGTGATTTGTATCGAAAATAAACCTGAATTGAATCGAATTGAATGAATTAATTATATATTTTTTATATTTTTGTTTTTATCTTCGCTTTGTGTAATACCTGATAAAGTAGTGTTTTAATCGCAATGCTGCTTTGTTCACGGAGGTTATGGGAAACAGCTGTAATTCTGCTGCTCCATAAGCGCCACCTGCTGTCAGAGAGTGGGTTTACAGAGACTTACGTTCACATTCAGCCTGTGTGCAGTTTGCATGGCCTTCTGTAAACTTTGACCTGTTGATGAAAAACAAGCTTATGTGGATTCTACACATTTAAACAATTTGGATAAGGTATCTAGAATTATTTATGGAGCAGATAAAATACATATAATCATTTATCGATTAATTATCATTTTCATTTTGACTTTTTATTCTATTGTTTTTATGCAAACAAAGTCATTTTATTTGTTGTTTGTTGATTTTAAATATAAAACTTGGTGAAATGATTTACGTGTTAGTACTTTTTGAATATTCCGAGCACATTTTAACAATACCATGATAATACTGAAAACATGATCATTTTGGTCACTATAATCATGCTAAGAAATTTTCATACCATTACATCTCTAATTGAAATGATTTTCAGAACAACTTTTTTCAGCTGATAAAACTGCGGTTCGCTTATAATAAACGGTGTTGTCCATTATTTTTGAGCACTGAAGGGTCAAACATTCTTTTTTTTTAATACATATTTTTTATAATGTGCTATATATATATATATATATATATAATTCTTTTTTTTGTTATTTTCATGTCAATGAAATACTATTATAGTTTTTCTTAATATTTTGAATTCGTTTTTTAAATAGTTTCAGCTTTCCTGTTCATGTTAACATTTTAGTATTTATGTTTTTGTCATTTTTCTTAGTTTTTGTTGTTTTTAAAAATGTCTGTATAGTTTTATTTTTTGTATTTAGTTTAAGTTAAGCTCAATGAATATCATTTTTTCTTTATTATTTCAAGTAACACATTTATTTTTATGGTTTCAGTTCATTATAATAACCCTGATTTAGTGTTAAAACAGGACTGAATTAAGTTCATGTCAGTCACTCCAAGTGCACACTACAGTGATCAAGCTCATTGCCTTTGACATATTGTGACAAGCAGATTGTGTATAGTGTATGCCTGATGCTCTTGTAGTGTGCACACTACTGAGGGACGATCTGACTAGCCGCAGAAGCCACAGCAGATTTTAAATCTGTAGTCAAGAATAACACATTGCTGTGAGCGTCATTTTGTGACAATTTACAAGAGTGTAGCTTCATTTGGGGAGAAGGTTCTGCTTGTTTGAGTCACTTTGCTACAAAAATAAACTCGAAATATAGTGCTAAACTTGGCTCTCAAGAGGCAGAAATACAAAATGAAGAAGTAGCTTTAGAATACAGAAGTGCTACATGAGGCCACTGATTAGACACTAATTAAACTAAATGAAAAACAAGTAACGTCTGACCGTCTCTCGGCCCACTCATGCCTCTAACGATAACTATATCATTAAATCTAATCGTTCTGATGCTATGAGATTAGTGAAGTCCAGTCTGCAACTATAACGATAATGACACAGAGGAACAATATCACCAAAATTATGGATGGAGTGATTACCGGTTTGACGATAAATCATGATAAAATTCCCCACGGTTGGTATTACCGTTTCATATTTTAAGTATAATTAAAACCGTATTTAATTACCACGATTTGAACAACTGTGGATAAATACTGTCCAGCATAAAGCACAGTTTCCAGTAACAGTCTCACGTGCGCACAGCAGCAGAGTAGTTTCGTTTTGTGTGAAAACATGGCAGAAAAGCTGGGAGGATTTAAAAGAGTGCTAAGGGAATTACACAAATGAATATACGCATGAATACAAATGACCTCAGGTGATGCTAACCCTGGAACAACATATAGAACTACCAAATTTTGCTTAATCGCAACATTTAATCACAATCGCAAAGTTTAATCGCAACATGTAATCAAACAGACGGTGAACACTATTAACTGCAATGATTACGTGTAATTTGTAACTAACTTTATGATTCTTACTGTACATTTCTGCCGTAGTCACCACTAATAGCCTACTCCTAAATATAATGTAGAGAATTAAAATTTTCTCTAAAGCTGCTTTGCAGTGATTTGTATCGAAAATAAACCTGAATTGAATCGAATTGAATGAATTAATTATATATTTTTTATATTTTTGTTTTTATCTTCGCTTTGTGTAATACCTGATAAAGTAGTGTTTTAATCGCAATGCTGCTTTGTTCACGGAGGTTACGGGAAACAGCTGTAATTCTGCTGCTCCATAAGCGCCACCTGCTGTCAGAGAGTGGGTTTACAGAGACTTACGTTCACATTCAGCCTGTGTGCAGTTTGCATGGCCTTCTGTAAACTTTGACCTGTTGATGAAAAACAAGCTTATGTGGATTCTACACATTTAAACAATTTGGATAAGGTATCTAGAATTATTTATGGAGCAGATAAAATACATATAATCATTTATCGATTAATTATCATTTTCATTTTGACTTTTTATTCTATTGTTTTTATGCAAACAAAGTCATTTTATTTGTTGTTTGTTGATTTTAAATATAAAACTTGGTGAAATGATTTACGTGTTAGTACTTTTTGAATATTCCGAGCACATTTTAACAATACCATGATAATACTGAAAACATGATCATTTTGGTCACTATAATCATGCTAAGAAATTTTCATACCATTACATCTCTAATTGAAATGATTTTCAGAACAACTTTTTTCAGCTGATAAAACTGCGGTTCGCTTATAATAAACGGTGTTGTCCATTATTTTTGAGCACTGAAGGGTCAAACATTCTTTTTTTTTAATACATATTTTTTATAATGTGCTCAATGCCATGCACTGTTTGAATTTCTAACTTTAATATCTCACTAGCCAGAAAGTCTCATTTATTTGCCAAAGCCTATTTTTACCTGCATTAGGTGCGTTGTTTTTGTTTTTGGAGCCTGTTTCTCTCTTTGGGTCTTGATTTGGTTCACAAACACCATGAGGACTGTGTGTGTTTGTGTTCCCGCTCAGGTGGAAGGGAGACTATGGCGGGAAGAAGCAGCTGTGGTTCCCTGCGAATTACGTGGAGGAAATCAGCCCGACGGCCACGGAGCCTGACAGATCAGTGAGTTGAGCGCGTGTGTGTTTGTTGTTGATGTGTTGTGTCAGAGGCGCTCTGGGCTCCGACCTTTACCCCTGTTCTCGCTCTCGCTCAGCAGGCCACAGAGAACAGTCCTCTGGGAGATCTCCTGAGAGGAAGTATGGACGTGTCTTCCTGTCAGATCGGTGAGTGTGTGTGTGTGTTCCTCCTCCCTGATACACACTCAGCATCAGATCAGATGTTTGAGACCCTTACACAGATCCACACACACACACACACACACACACATGCAGACACACACACACTCTCACACACACACACACACACACGCACGCACGCAGACACCACATAGACACACACACACACACGCACGCACGCAGACACACACACAGACACAGACACAGACACACAGACCCACACACTCACACACACACAGACACACAGACACACTCACACACACACACACTCACACACACACACACAGTAGCGCTACTGTGTTGTAACATGGTGTAGTACAGCTGTACTGGGCAACGCTGGTAAGATAATGCTGCCTTCAGTGACGCTGTGCTCACTAAAAAAAAAAACTTATATCTCATTATGTTACATAGAAGTGAATAAAAATAATATTGATATTTAATATTAAGGTAACACTTTAATGTATTAACTAACATGAACAATGAACAATACATTTATTACAGTATTTATTCATCTTTCTTAATGTTAGTTAATGAGAATACAGTTATTCACTGTTAGTTCATGTTAATTCAGAGAGCATTACCTGTTAACAAGCACAACTGTTGATTTGAATAATGCATTAGTAAATGCTGAAATGAACATGAACTAAGATTAATAAATGCTGAAGAACTAAAGTAGTTAACTAATGAACCTTATTGTAAAGTGTTACCAATATTGATATAAATTCTGTCCAGTTTTATCGTGTTACTTTCAGTAAAAGTGTGGTTATTTTATTGGCTTGTGTTTTTTAAATTCAGTATCATTAAAATTGTGGAGTTACATTAAAAAGTCTTTACAAAATGACTTTATATTATTTAATAAAATAATAAATAATCATTACAAATCATTTACGGTTTCAGTTTTCGGCCCAGAATTTTCATTCGGTGCATCCCTATTATTAATCATAACCATTATATTATAATTATTAAATTAGTTATTGATGTTATTAATTTATTTCCATGTACTACAATAATGATATATATTTTAAACTATATAGCTCAACCCAAACTATTGTACTATTATTAATATACTATTATAGTTATTATAATTATTTATTTATATATATATATATATATTATCCATCCATCCATCTATCGCTCCATCTATCTATCTATCTATCTATCCATCTACCTATCTATCTATCCATCTATCTATCCATCTACCTATCTATCTATCCATCTATCTATCCATCTA